AATTGTTTAACTCCGCACGAGAGTAGACAATCTTTTTAAGAAAGGTTAAAATTTGAAGGCGGACCTCTTGTGTTACTATTGTTTTCCTTAGTCACGATGAAACTCAAACCTTCAAACTGATAAAATGACAATATTCTGATCCTCTTCTTTTTTGCATCTCTTACCTAAAACTTGTGTTGGATTACTAAAGTTGTACAAGCTTTCTCTGTATTCTTGAACTACATTAATATTGTCTCTTATAAGAAAAATTTGCTCAACGATCTGGTCAGACGCTCTCATCTCAATAGTTTCAATATTTTTCTAGTTACTCTTTTTTTCAAAACTGATGTTTTATTAATTCCCCATTTCCTAACCTCTTCAATGCCTGACTTAATTGTATGACTTTTTTTATTTTATAAAATTGATCTTTTTATTTTAAAAAAAGTCAAATAGTTATGACGTAAACTTGTGTTTGTGCTGAGTACAATTATATTCGGTTAATTATTTCCTGACGTACGTAGTCCATCCGACCCGCTATATACAACATTCAATTTTTAACATATCGTTAGTTCTTTTAAGAAAATCTCAAAAAATAGACCCTTAAAATTATGAAATTATGAAATGAGTACTTAAACTAACAAAATTGCAGTCAACAATCGGGCCTTAAACATGAATTATGAAATGTTGGATTAAATAAAACTAGAATGTCCTTCTTATTCTCTTTCCTCCATCATCCCATCTCCTTCTCTTTCCTACTTTCTTCCTCTTCCTCTCTTTGTCCTTCTCTTTTCTCTTATTTTACAATAATTGCCCAGCAAAGTCATAAGCCATGATATTCCGCATAAGCCGCAAAGTCATAAGCCAGGGCCTTAACATGCAAAGCCAAATCCCCCTCCTCCTTTCTTTTCATGTTCGTTACGGAAAATGAAGGAAATTGATTGGATCATGTTTGTGAACTTTCAATAGATAAACGTACTGGTGTAACCACTTTGTCTCTCGCATCATCCCCTACTGTACTAATTCTTTATTTGCTCATCATTTCCGAGCTGCAGTGTGCCCCGGAGATGTGATAGTAAAATTTATTTTGCTCGCCTATTGTCTGAATCTGTTGTTCCTTTTATGAGGCAAACTTCTCTTGCAAAGGTTCCTACAATTGCTTGATTTTCACCTGCTTCAAGATTCCTCAACCATCAACATATTCTTTTACGTAACTTCTCTTGAAGAGGTTCCTACAATATTTTCTTTCTCACTAGTTCCGATAGACCCTTGCTATGCTTGGATAAGAAAGTAAAAAATTTCCAAGTTCAAATTTGATTATACTACCTTCGGTCTTTAATATAAGATCTTGTTTGACTTTTATTTTGGTCCTAAATATAATATCTCAATTCATTTTGCTTCTCATATTTATACATTTTTTCCTAAGATAGTCCTTTTAATGATGGTAATTCTATCCAATATACTTGATTAGCAATGATATTTTAGGAAATACAGCACATATTTATTACAAATAACTAACTTAACTTATTTTCTTAATCTCCTCAAATTAGTTAACTAGCTCTTATAATTAGGATCGAAAATAGTATGTAATATCCTAAAGGAATAGTTGCTGTCAAACACACACTGGTTTTTGTTATTAGTGATAAAATTGTTATTATTTTTCACTGAAGACTTCTTTTTAGCAACTAAATTGTAAAAATTGACATTAACTTAAGTTTTAGCAAAATTTGGCTTTATTTTTACAATTTAATTGTCAATGATAAGTCTAATATGAAAAATAATAAGCGTTAAATAACTATTCACATTAGCTTATATTTTAATAGAAATTGACATTATTTTCATAATCTAGTTGTTAATGACAAGTCTAGTATGAGAAATAATAAGTGTTCAAAAGGTATTTACGTTAACTTAAATTTTAATATAAATTGACTATATTTCCACAATTTAGTTGCTAATGACAAGTCTAATATGAAAAAAACAAATGTTAAAAAACTTTTCATATTAAGTTAAATTTTAGCATAAATTGGCATTATTTTCAAGTTTAATTGCCAATAACAAGTCTTGCATGGGAAATAACAAGTATTGAAAAGCTATTCACATAACTTAAGTTTTAACAGAAATTGATTTATTTTCACAATTAATTGATACTAACAAGTCCTGCATGCCAAATAATAAGTTGTGAATGTCATGTTACTAATTTAGTTTTAGCTAAGTTTGTTGAACAAGATTCTCAAACTTATATTTATTCGGGTTAGACATATAGATAATGTTAGCTATAATATAATAATATAATATAAGTGACCGTTTTTTCTAAAATATCATAATCATTTTTCTTAATACCCCTTATTCCTCTCTTACTTGATTATGGTTGAGGGAGTATCCATAGGGGTAATTTAGAGAAAATTGATAAATATGATAAATGGGTCTTATATTTAGGACCAAAACTAACTCAAGAATTGAGTCCTATATTAAGGACCGGAGGAGTTATCATTTTAGGAATACATACATAATGATCATTAACAACTAATAATTATGCTGGCTAATTATTAGTACAAAGTCAAATATTAAACTTGCACCAACATTATCCACGAACTACAATTTATCCCCATTTCATTATTCACTGAATCAGTCTCTTTTTTTGGGCCTTTCTTCTGTCGGTTGATTGTGATAGAAGCTTCAAAGTGTGATCATGCCATTGATTGAATTCATGGGTGACCAACCACTACATAAGATCAAAGATCAGGGTGAAAATGTGACACGTAAGCCTGGACATAGGTTTTGAATATAAAAATAATTTATTAGTCTCTTGAGCCAGGTAAATCCATTAACTCAATTTGGTTATTCCTTTCTATTCTTAAAACCCCCAAATTCAAAACTCAAATTAACTATTCAAAATAACAAGTTAAGTTTTACAAATAACAAGTTAACTTTTTCAAATAACAAATTAAGTTCTGGAAATAAAAATTAAGTACAATGTTAAAAATTATAATTTAGGTATTTAAATAACAACTCTACAGTTAGAAATAACAACGTCATGTCAAAAAATAGAATCCATTGAATTAAAATGCTATAATTACTCATGTCACTATTGGTACTTCTTTAGAAGTAAAATGAAATATAATCTGTAAGATGTTTATTGTGCATTTTTTTCATCTAACAGAATACGTTTTTTTTAGTTCGTATCAGATCATCATAATCTTCAAATGCATCTTAGATGGGCATGATGCAATATTTGTCTATGAACAAGGTCTTTTTTCTCAATCAAAACATCTCCTTGCAGAAAAATTTAGATGGAGTGAGAGAAGATATTTTTTTTACTGTAATATTTGGGTCTGAGAAAGGGAAAGAAAATGAATAAGGAATAATGGGACATGCCCTCACTTCTACAGAGAAGAGACCCGGTGAGTGCAATTACGTTCAACAGTGCTGGTAGTGGCAATCCATTGGCCCCCCACGCTTTTCCAAGACATAGCCCCTCAGCCGCCACCCAATTAATCATCTCCACACGCGCATTTCGTCAAGCACTTCACATCCCATCTCTCTTCTCTTCACTTCCGTTCTTCCAGATTCCTAGAGCTCTGGAAATGGCTGGAGTTGATTTTGCCTCACTCCATCATCCCACTTCCAAGTTTTCTAAGCCTCTACCTGCAGAAAACCAACATCTACACCTTTGTTCTTCCAGATTCCTCGCTATCGCCATAAGAAAGGAAGAGGGAAACGAGTCCAAGAGTAAAGAAAGATGAAGTTGGGACATGTGAGCAAAGGATTGGGAAAAAGCAGAAGGGCTTTTTTAATCTTTTAACTAAGATTTTATAATTTCTATTTAGAACCGGGCCTTCAACAAAAATTATGTAAATTCAAGAACCCAAGTCGTAATTTTATACATTCGAAAGTCTTTGTTTGTATTTTTCCTTTTATAAATTATACTTTATATTTATTTAAAAAATTTAATTCATTTTTTAAGTAATTACATGTCCTTTTTATCTTTTTTTCACTCATTAATATCTCTCATTTTTTTCCATCCATGGTCCATTATTCTTGCCATTGCTCACACATCATACATAGAAGTATAGTTTAAAAAATATGCATTCTATAAATTTATTTTTAACTAATTTTTTTATTGTCATTTGTAATTTATATACAAGATCTCAGCCAAAAAATGGCCAATATATCTTCAAATATAATTTAAATTTATATTATTAAAATTAAACATAACCGATCTAAAATCTGGTGTAAAATAAGAGACACATCAGTGAAGAAACTCGGAATGTACAGCACACCCACGACAACTGCATGAATGTCATAAACACGTCTTTTCATGGTGAATACAGTATAGAGAATTGTTATAATAAGAATCACAAGTTATAGTAAAAAATAATAACAAATAATAATTTTCATGGAGAAATTGTTTTTACTCTGACCCTATTTATTTTATAATAATTTTACGTTAAGTCACCTCAATTAAACATGCAATTGTCTAAAAAGAAATCCATTTTGTATAAATAAGTAATGAAATAAAGAAATATAGGGAATATGTTTCAAAACAAGATGAGGTCTAATTTAAAACAAAAGGAAAAAAAGAAGAAGAACAAGATAATATACAGTGACAACATAAAAAACAATGCGTGGGAGGAAAAGGAAAATGAAGTACTCCCCTAGTCCTTAATATAAAATCTATTTAACTAATTTGATTAGATTAAGGAAATTAGATAAGTTAGTTAATTATAAGAAATATAACATATTTTTTTTCTAAAACACCATAATCATCTTCATTAATATCCCGTCTCCCTCTTCTACTTGATTATAGTTGAAAGAATGTCTATAAAGGTAATTTAGAAAAAATTAATAAATACGATAAATAGGTTTTATATTTAGGATCAAAATTAACTCAATAATTAAGTCTATATTAAGATATGAGAAGTATTTCTTAATTATACATACAAATGATTAATGTTAATTTAACTTGCTTTGTGTGCATAAATTTAGATCTCCTCAATTAATTAAAGATATGAATAGAAGAAAAATAACAAATAAAGAGTGAGATTAACACATCACACTCACCCTATATATTAATATCAATTACAAATTTGGGGGAGTTCTTATTGCGGCTGTACCAATACTCAGCAACAAGTTTGGAGAAAGAAGAGTTTGTCTCTATAAGCTTTGAAGGCTCATCATATTCCACCACTTTCCCTATATTCACACAAATAACAACGAAAGTTTGGCAAAAAATAGAGAAATTAAATTTCTGATGAAAATAAGGAATGACAGAATAAGAATTTTTTAAGCATACTTTGAATCACCTATATAAATATCCAAAATTTTATTTTTATTTTTTTATTGGAGATCCTAATAACAAATAGTTAAAGAAACGTATTAAATTTAAGTTTTATTATAACAAATATCCTCGAGGTTTTTTTGGGAGAGAAGAAAAGATTCAACATACCATAAGAGAGGACCATAACCATATCGCTATCTATTACGGTTGGAACTCGATGAGCTATGGTTATAACTGTGCACCCTGCAAATTCTTGTTTGATAACTCGTTGAAGGATGACGTCTGTGGTAGAATCAATGGAAGCAGTGGCTTCATCAAGAACAAGAATCTTATTTCGCTTCAGAAGAACTCTTCCTAGGCATAAGAGCTGACGTTGTCCCACACTCCAGTTTTCACCATCATCATTTACTGTTAAAATTTTCACATCACACTAGTTTAGTTATTGGGTCTCATATCATAATTTGAGTCTTGACAAGGACTATATATATATAACTTTGACTTCTTGCATATCACTTTTGGACTAAAGCTCCTGAGGTAAAAGATCATAAGTTCAAACTACTTCTGCATAAAGGGCAGGTCTGTTTTTAAGGTGAAAAAAAAAAAAAAACCTTGTGTGAGATGAGTTAAAAATATTAATAAAACCAATCAATAGTTTTCACATAGCACATCGCGTTTCAAGCTACGTTATTCTTACAAAGCATGGTACATAGCAATCAGCTCAGAGTTGCTTATGTGTGTGTCTGAGATTGAAAGCATCAAGTTCCGGGATTAAACTCACCAGAAGAGTCCAATAGATTTGGAAGCCTGCTGATTGTTGACTTGAGCTGGCATTTCTCTAAAGCCTATAAACAAATACAGTGGACATCAAACCTGCACTTGCTATGAAGCTGATGTAGAACAATATATGTGTGTGTGTGCAGATATGTAGTCATTTTTTAAACTATAGAGGTAATTCATTAAATCATTCACCTCCCAGATTTCATTGTCAGAGTAGAGGCCAAGAGGATCCAAGTTGGTTCTAATGCTACCCCTAAAAGAGTGGGTTCTTGAGGAATAATGCTCAGCTTCATCCTCAAATCCTTCAACCCCATTGGGAATATGCTGATCCCATCGATAAGAATATCACCTCTTGCAGGATCAACCAAGCGAAACAAAGCACTTACAAGTGTACTTTTTCCACTTCCAGTCCTCCCTACAATTCCCACTCTATTCGCTTCTTTAAACGTACAGGTAATTCCCTTAAGAACTAATGGAGCATTTGGACGATACCTTATCTGAATTCAAAATATTTATTTAAAAAAAAAAAACATTGATCAGATTCCACCTCATACACTTAAATTATTTTGGGGGGGGGGGGGACAGGTCTTTAAAATGATGTATAATTTGTTTTGTTACCTCAAGATTTTGAAGCTCAATCCTACCCTTGGAAGGCCACGACAGTGGAGGCTTTCTGGACTCCACAATTGCAGGAGGCTCTTCTGGTATGTGAATGAACTGATTAATTCTTTCAACGGAAACAATATGATTAGATAAGTTGCAAAGCCAACGAGTCATAAAAATTTGGGTTCCTGTCAATGTCAAGGCATATGATAGAGAGAGTCCTGCAAGGCCTGCAAGCAAAATATATGCCAAGAATTTTTAGCATGTTAGTAACAGTTTAAAAGTAGGCCTTAGAATAAACTGTAAACTAATTTCTTATATTAGGAATGCTACCGGGAGACAAATATCCCTTTGGAAGAAGAACAAGCAGTAAAGCTGCTGTGAAGAGTGTAAAATTTTGAAGTGCTTCAATCCTCAAAAGTAACCACTCCAAGGACCCAGCAGAATGAAAGAATAGCTTTGCATCTGTGTCCACAAGTTTGAGGTAATTTTGGTAAAATCTGTCTATCATGTTGAAAGCTCTCATAGTCACAACTCCGAGTGATGTCTCAGCTGAGAAATTCATAATTGGAGCTTTTGTGGTTCCATTTATCCTCATTAGTTCCCTTGAAGAGGCTTGATAATAGCCCTTTAAGCCAAAGAATTGAAGTCATCACCTTTATTTTGACAGAGTCAGAATAGGAAATCAACAAAAAGAAAATGAGGAAATGGATAAACCTGCAAGTATTTAGAAGCTATTAAGGCAGGAACTGCAACAATAAGTACTTGCCACGTGACTGAAGCCATTATCCCGATTGTTGCCAGGAGTTCAGTTCCACCAGCGGTCACAAGGTCCAAGGCATGAGGTATATCGAAGTCTAAAATACTCAAATCTGATGAAACCTGCAAGATCAATTAGCAAAAATTAATGATAATTCCCAAATGGGGGCAAACAAAGTAAATTAGGTATTCAATACAGTTGGAAATGAAGAAATCTCACACGGGTCGTAATCCTCCCTACTGGGGTTGAGTCAAAGAAGAGCATAGGAGCTTTGAAGATAGCATTAGTGAAACTAGAGAAGAAAGATGTAGAAGCTTTTAATCCAAGATAAGCACTGATGATAGACCTTGAGCACGCAAAGACAACACCTAGAAGTGAAACTATTGTGTAAACTCCAATCAAGATGACATTTGTTACATTTGGGAATTCAATGGCTAGAGCAAGCCAAAAGATTGATGTTGACTGCAGAGCAATAAAAGTCAACTGTGCTAAAATGCTCAAACCCATAAGCATTAATCCTTTAGAGAGACAAAGATAATCCCAGAATGGCTTCAAGCCAACATCACCAATCTCTTTTTCTTCTTCTTGTGTAAGTTGTACCCCAATTTGAACTTCTGTAGAAATGTTCTCCTCGCAAATATGATCCATAGTGACATGAAAGTCATGAGGTTCCAGTGGCTGATTAACACCAACTGCTCCTTCAGATTCTTTTGGAATTTCAGTGTTTTTATCAGACCCTGCTATTCCTTCTCTATAGGCATTTACAAGCTGTTTAAAAGTTGTCCCTTCTATCATAAGGTCTTCATAACATCCTGATTGTGTAACTATTCCCCCCTCCATTACCAAGATTTTATCAACTTGTGCAAGAAACTCCACCTGATGAGTCACTAGAATGACAGTTTTCTCCCTTAGAGCAGTCATGACACAATCCTGTTATTACATGGTAGGAATTAAGATTAGCTCAGTGAAAAAAGGCCGATAGTTTAACACTAATACTTAGAGTACAAAAGACTTTCTCATTACATTGAACAGAATAGCAGCAGTATGCGCATCTACTGCACTGAAAGGATCATCTAAGAGGTAAATATCAGCATCATTGTATACTGCTCGAGCCAGTTGAATCCTTTGCTTTTGTCCTCCACTCAAGTTGATCCCTCGCTGACCAATTTCTGTAAGGTCACCGTGGCTAAAAGCGTTGATATCTTTATCCAAGGCGCAAACTTTGATGGCATTCTCATATCTGGTTTTTTCCATTGGCTTGCTGAAGAGTATGTTATCGCGTATTGTTCCGCTTTGAATCCAAGATGTTTGAGAAACATAGGCTAGGTTTCCACCCACTTTAACCTATTGTTAATCACCAAGATGACATAAAGTAAACTGTTTTGAGTATTTCAAACTAAAATGGCGTCAATTTCATTTAAAGTTAAGGAGAGCTACCCCCCCCCCCCCCCCTAGTTTATGAGGAGTTTGATACAATTGATTTGAACTTTAAAAGAGTTACACATCAAAAGCAAGCTCATGAGATTAGGTAGCTCAAATAATCATCAAGAAAAGATAAAGTGAACTGTTTCAAGTATTTGAAATTAAAATGGCATGACTTTTATCTAAAGTTTGGGTGAACTACGCCCCAAAAGCAAGCTCATGAAAAGTTTAATGCAATTGATATGAACTTTGAAAGAGCTAAACCTCATAAGTAAGCTCATGAGATTGGGTAGCTCAATAGTCAATATCCTCATAGACATCACTTTAAAATGCATTATTAAATGACAAAATAAAATGTTCTGATGCTATGAATATCAACTTAGCGATACCCTGTACATCCCAAAATTAGAGAGCGTATATGTTCCAAATTTGAATAACATACTCCAATATGGATCTCATCTAGGAAAAGTGTCATAACAAATTAAACTGAACATTTCGTATTATAAACTCACAGTTCCTGAAATTTTGGGTATCTCGCCAAGCACTGCATGTATGAGGGATGATTTTCCAGCTCCAACTGGTCCACACACTGCAATTTTCTCCCCCCGTTTGATTTCTACATTCAAATTTGTCAAAGTTGGAGACATTGACTCCAGATCCCAACTGAAGTTTCCACCTTGAATTTCCACACCATTAACTGGGCTTTGCGTTGAATTCCTTCCAATATCTCCATCTTCTAGTTCTTCATCAAGCAAAAACGTGTTGAGACGATCAAAAGAGACCTTAACTTGGATCAGCACAGAAATAGCCTCTGGGATCATTCTAATAGGTTCACCCATGCTCCTCAAAGTTGCAAGAACCGTGAAAATGGTTCCTGCATTCAAGGGGGCACTCTGGAAAACAGAACATCCTAGGAAGATCACAGATGAAACAATGGTAGGAGAAATCCAATAGGTCGCCGCCCCGTAAGCTTTCAAAAATTGTGCCTTAGACAGAAATTTGAATTCTTTCGCACGAAGGGTTTCAACCAAAGTCCTGAACTTTTCCTCCCAAGATTGCAACTTTATGATTTTCATATTATTTAGCATCTCTGAAGTTGACCTTAGACGTTCATCTTGGGCAACCATAAATGCTGACTGACATTTTCGAAGAATATTTGCAAAGGGTATATCAAGAAGGCTACATATGACAAGAGGGGCTAGACCTGGAAGAGCACCAATGCCGACAATACCAAATAGGATCCCAATGCCTAGAAAAAGTTGTAATGAATAAGTCCATGTGCTATGAAACCACCATGGAAATTCTCCCATTCTATAAGCATCAACTGCTATGTAATTTACTATTTCCCCTGTTGAGTGTCTTCTTCTGGCTGCACTTGAAAGCTTCAACTGCTTGTCATAGACTGCCACCATTAGAGCTGATCTCATTCTCATTCCCAACCTTCTTGAGTGAAAATGCCAGTGTCTTTGAGGCAAAGATTCAATGACCTTACAGATAAACAGGCAACCCAGTATGGCAAGACCCTCTTTTAGATCTTCCTCTTTACTATTTGAATAGTTCACAAAAGCATAAAGTAATAAAGGAGAAACTACTACAGCAATTGTCCTGGGCAATGCCCAGATTGCTATAAGAAAGTTCTCTTTCAGGTAAACTCTTGATATACACCAAATAATCAAGTTCTTGGTATTACTATTTTTGCTTCTATCTCTTAAAGAGGAATTCCATGCATGAGAAAAAATTTTATAGGCTAAAGCAGCTTCGTCTTCAGAAACAAGAGATGGGATATCTTCAAGAGCTAGTGGCTTGGAGTAGCCCAAACTCAGTAAGGGATTAATCCAAGAGAAAGTCAATTTTCTGAGAAAAGTGGCATGAGAAATTTTTATTTTTTTGTTTTCAGCCTTTTGATTTTGACCTAAAAGAGGCTCTGAAACAGTGGGATTTTGGATTCTCTGAGGAATAAAATAAAGGCTTCTGAATGCACAGAAAATGAGTAGAAACTGTGCTGGCCATTTAACCATATCAAATGTTTGAATTTTATGCTCTTTGTACAGAATCTCAATATTGAGAGCTGAAACAAGTATGCATGAAGAAGCCCACCAAACAGAGTTTAGAATTTTAATACATTTTGATCTCTGAACAAGCAAGGAGATTGTTAAAGAAATCCACACTAGTCCACGGAAAAAATAAACCAACCACCCCAACTTCCTAAGATCTTCAGGTTTGGCTATAAGATTCCACACTCCGTTACTAAAATATGCAATGCTTATAAGGGCACAATAGACTGAGGCAGCTAAAGAAACCCATCCCTTTCTGTGGAAGTCATTTGCGTACTTTTTTCTGATCAAACTGCTAAGAAAAGATATGTAAAAAGCACAGACAAATAGTATATTCATAGCGTCAATGATGCTCCTCTGAGTGCAGAAGGAAGTGAAATCTTTGAGACAAATCCATGAGAAATCCCCTGTACATTCAATCAAAAGTATGTGTTGTCACATTTTCAACGTGAGAAGGCATAGTCTTAATTTAAAGGAGAGCAATCTTTCCTTTTATGACACACATCAAACACATTACAAACATGACACTCTTCAAGAATATCATTGTGAGAAAAGAAGTGACAACCCATCAAACCTTTATAGAAGCAATTAGAATCTGCTAAAGCTATATAAAGGCAATAAGTTAACAACCAGCTAACCTTTTGAACTCGCTACGTTGGCCATTTTTGGAGCTTCAATGGTCTGATCTTTTTGCATATCTCTGGAGTTTCAACGAGGGTTAACAGGAGGACTTGCCCCTAAGGTAGTGGCTTAAAAATGATATCTTTTAATCAGATCACAAAGCTTATAAACAAGATGTTTTCAATAGGTGCTGCAATACCCTGACGATTTTGTTTTTATATTCCCATGTGAAAGGACAGATAACAATAGTAAATGCTTCGAGGAATTTTTCTAGGCATTAAATAATCCATCTTGTATTTTTATTACGTAGAAGCGCTTGTCAAATAACGACAAAATTCCTTTTTAGAAATCTGGTGCAAGCAATCTTGTCCCTTGTTCTAAGCTTATGATTATAGTTTTGTCTAGTGGTATCTCCAAGTCAGACCTAGGGAAAAATACAAGCAAGTATATATATCATATATATATATATATATATATATAATAATATAGTATCATCCATTGCTGAAAATTTAAACACCGTTTAAGGTCACTCAAAGGACGTAAAAGCTTATCTATTTCTGATGATGACATAGAAATCCTACTCATGGAATAATAATAAAATGACAGAAACCATCGTAATGAAAGCGAATAATAAATGTTTAAAGGTGACAACTTATTCAAGGCCGTTAATTTTTTATCTATGGAGCTACACATTGTATTTAAGCTTCATTATTTCTTCTTTCTTTTTTTTTCACTTCATAGGTTTAGTGGGGATATGGTGTTTCTTAATTGTCAAGTTCATGAAATCATATTTGAAGCGATATATTATCATCAATCAATCAAGCAATATATCTCTAATCTTTTACTTTGATGATTTCAGCGTAGTGAATTTCTACAGTAAATCAAACAATGAATTCTACAGTATTTAATGTTTAATTGAGTAGTTTTTGGCAGGGTTGTTATCAGCATGTGCGTTGCGGGATGACATAAGATTATTTGATTATTTGTATAAGAAAGTTAGTTAAATTAATTATTTATAATAAGTGGATTTTTTTCTTTCTTAAATTATACTTATTAATCATGTGCATTGAAATTACCGTTAATGAAAACTCTTTAATGTGCGTAATCACTATAGGAATTATTTAGAGACAAAATGAATAAATATGAGCTACAAAATGAATTTGAGTATTATATTTAAAATTAAATTGAATTTTTAACTAGTTCTTACATTAAGGATCAGAGTTGTATGTATATATTTGTGCCAAATCCATATGCCTTTTTTGTTTTTTTAATCTAGTACACATGAGCTCAGCTGAGTTGGAAGCCACAGTTATAATTTTTAATAGTGTGAAGTAATATTTCTCTAGTTGATGACTCAAAATAAAATTATACATCCATCCATGGTATTGTTAATTAATTAATTAATGTATTATTAATTAATTAATTATTATATCTTAACCTACGATGTACTCGTCTTGACGTGTTAACAAACAATCCTCTTTATTTATTAAAAAATCTCAACGTGTAACCTAATTAACCTGCTTCAAATTCAATAATATTAATCACAATTTTATTTATATTCCCTTTGTTTTCTTCATCACAACACAACCATGACACAATTATAGTGGGTTGACTACTTCAAAATATTCTTACATTAATGATAATAATGCTTATTATTCTGAAGAAATATGTTGCAAAATTAACTAAACTTGATTTAGCTACCATGCTTTGATGTTTATGATTCATTAACTTTTGTAGAGTAGTATACTAGTGTAGTATAACTGTATAAGTCATCATATTGAATAATCTTGATAAATGTAATAAATGATGGTTGAAAATTATTGTAATATATTAAACCTTAGAAATCGGGAAGCATTTATGACAGATCCACAGGTAATTTATGGGAAGAAAAATAATTAGACCAACTCGCCAACTTGTGGATAAATTCTTACATGCTCCGGATACACCACGTCATCTGTGTATTGTCCAATAAAAGTATGCCACATCAGATTTATTTAATCTTATGTGTCATCAATATTTCTCTCCTCTCCTCATTTATATCACCAAACATTCAAATTATTTTAATAATTTGTCCTTAATGACGTTGACCCTTATAAATAAAGACTGAACTGAATCTCTCAGCTATTACGTCAAGTCCTACCCTTAAAAGAAAGTCATTTTTATAACAAATAATACTTCATTTGATAAGCATGATCTCTACCAGTAATTAATAGATAAATAAACCAATAATCGTGATCAACTATATTGTTAAAAATTTGTACTACTCAATTCATTTAAAAAACAAGTCAAATATGACATTATGAGATTCGAATCTATTTAATTAATAAGATTTGGATAATGCTTTGATTAGAATTTGGATATACTCCTCTAATCCTATTTATAAGTCACTTCAAGTATATTTCACACAGACCAAGAAAAACTTTAAATTTCATTAACTCTCATTTAAAATTTAACGACTTTCCAACTTTATTCTTATTTAATATATAATATACCTCATATAAACAAAACCACACACTATTTTTATTGAGAACTGAGTTGCATCAACTCACAACTAAGTTATTAAGTTATAAATAAATTAAACTTTGAATGATTAAAAGATTAACTTTTTTTTACTTTTATCCACTCTCTTTCATAAGCAATATATACCAGAAATCATTTTATTCTGTACGCAAAAATCAAAACAACACAGCAACAAAGATGAAGAAAGATTCCCGTTCATCACAAAGGCGGAAAAAAAGGTTGTTATTAAAATCTATATTTATAATATTAGTGATAATATTATCTTCAAGTTCTCTCTCTACCAAAAAAAATTATCTACTTTTTTTTTGGACACAAGAGAATTATCTTCTAGTTTTGACTTTTGATGATGACATAGGAATCTTACATCACTCGTGGAATAATAATGATAGAAAACAACGTAATGAAAGCGACAAATAAATGTTTATTTTTTCATTTTTGAAAAAAAAATGAAAATACCTAGTAAAACAAAAGATACATGATTAGAAAGTCCTAGACAAACAAGAAACAGGAGAATTCTTGTCCCTTAAAATACATTCCTAGACATGGGAAACTACAAACACCTTAATCTACAAATCGAAGCCTCTTATGGTCACCCATTTTAATGAAAGACTTTTCCCAATCGTTTACCAAAAAAAAAAATTTCGGATTCTAAATGTAAAACTTATTTTATAGTATAAATTATATTATAAAATGAGTTTTAAATTAAAACAGAAGGAGTAATAAATAAGAAAGCAGATAAATCCCTGCTAAAATTGTAAAATCGAGATGAGGAAATCCAAATTATCAAATGACACTTAAAATAATTATGACCATTTGGGAATTAAGTTTTAATTTGGAGTTTGATGATCTTAATATGGCACCTGGAGAGCTAAAGCCTAAATGTGTGGGCTTGTGAAATAAATTAGTTTTTGGGCCCTATTGAGGCCCAATTATGAAATGAACAACCACACCAAACACGTAGGAAGTGCAATTACAGACCGGTAGTTTGACTCCTTTTGGAGCTTCCATTTTTCACAATATTTTGTTCAATGTTATTAAAACAAATTGTGATGTGTTTATATTAATAATAAAGAATTAATAGTAATTATGCATAGTGATTTAAATTGGCTACCCTCAGAGTTTATCAGGACAAATAAAGTCATGAATTTATTAAAAGTAATAACTTTTTGTGACCAGTATCAAAAAGAAATAATAGTTTTTTTGTTAAACCATAACGGTAATAATATTGAGATTATTATTATTATTATTAATTATTAAATAAACTTGAAATGTCCTTTAGGGGCGTGAAAAGTCAACAAAGATGAAAAATGAGAAGGAATAATAATTAAAAAAAAAACAGTTGGACAGGTGAGGCTATGATTGCAGACTTTGTTTTTTGAGGAGGTTATTATTTTGAGTTAAGATGGAAATCCGTCTCGTTGCCACAAAAGCCAATTAGAGTTTGAAATACAGCACATAATAGTGCAATGAATAGAAAGATCTGATCCAAAAAACAAATTTTAAAATGAGGGGAAAAATCAACAGTGGTTAATCATAAGCAGCTCTTTTTGTGAATTCCATGGACGTAATCATTATATTATTCTTTGAAAAATATGCTGATGGATAATCATTGCTTCGTCTCCCCGTTTATAATTATAGGACATATTTTACAATATTCTCTTGATAATATTATTTCCCTAGTTCTATTTATATATTTTTTTTAGTCTTATTTAGAAGGTATTAAAATTTTTTTAATATAAATCTATACTTTTACTTTTTATTTATTATTATGTTAATTTTTTACATGAAATATATTATATATTAAATGGAGATAAAATTGAAAAGTTGTTAAATTTTAAATGAAAATTAATGAAGTTTAAGATTTTACTTCATCTATATAAAGAGTAAAAGCTAAGAATACGCATTTTTCTGGTGAAATATCACATCTGATTTAATACATTAATGAGAGTCCATTCCGATTTAACCATGTGAAATAGAATCCCACTTAAATTGTTTAGGCATATAAAATAATATACAAGGAGTATAAAACAATCCACCAATGTTTATTTGTTTTTTCCCTCCTTCCAAACAGCGACAATTTTATTTTAATGAAGTTAAAGGTACAGATGACGATTGGTATCCTTTGCACCTGCTCGTATAGAGCAGGTGAGCATTAACCATCCGAGAAAGTCATCAAGTACAAGAGTGTCTCTTGGAATACAGATTTCATAATACGTTTAATTATTCTTTTTTTTTTTGTCATAATTGCTCTTATTAACGTATTAGAAATGATTTATAAATAGAATCACGGGAGCATATAACAACCAACATGAAATTTAATGTTTATTTAGCATGGAATGATAAATGTCAAAAGTGTAGTATTGAACAAGATGAAAAGCGGGGGGCAGGGGGTGTGAAGCGGGAACAAAAACCTTGGGTCAAGAGACTCAGATGGCCCCTACCCGTGAGAGCTTCAATTATTGAGATTATTGACATGCATGCACTTCACTTTACCTCACTTCTGGCCTTAACTCTTATTTAAA